CGCACGGTCCCTGTTACCACCCGGCTGCCAACCGGGGGCTCAGGCCGGGGAAGGCGGGGGCATACAGAGGGGCGGTCTCAGTGAGCCTGTCAGAGGGGCTTCGCCGAGAAGGAGCTGCGCAGGCTGAGCCCTGAGGTGTGAGCAGCACAAAAAGCCTGAGGGCGAAGGACAGCCCGGCCGGCTCGCCTGGGGTTGAAAACAAGGGGACTGCACCGCAGAATCTATGGGCTCACCGCCGCATTTATTAAGCGCCTGTGGCACACGTGTAGCTAAGTGACCTGTGTTCCCTGCCAGAGGGGCTCACTTACCCCCACTGCCCTAGGACGAAATAAGTTTGGAGATTGGGTGCTTGCTAGACATGGGAATGGAGAGAAGGGGCTAGGGGGTCCTGGTAGGGGGTGCCAGCCCTAGGGCTCTAAGGAAGGCCCATGAGGAGCTGGCCAGAGGGTGCCAGGTCCTGGGCCACTGCAGGGTGGGGAGACCCAATGTGACTATGGCTTCTGTGTCCACCTTCACATGGAGGACAGTGCCTCTGTCACTTTCAGGCAAGCCGGGGGGGGGAGTGCTGGCGGCCTGCAGGAGCTGGACAGGGGAGAAGCTGACCCTGGCTCTGGGCTGGCCCAGCCAAGTGCCTCTGGCCCACCTGGCTTGAGGCTTCTGGGACTCGGTTTGCTCATCAGTGAAGTCGACAATGAAAGCCCCTCCCTGACCCACTGCTTATTCCCTGCCCAAGCTTCAGGTGCAGCCTGGAGACACCCCAGCCTCTGAGGCTAGACCTCAGGACCCTGGCCGTGCCCACTCCTCTGTGCCCACTTGATGGGTCAGCACCTCTGCTGTATGCTGCCCTCGTTGCCTGCTCTGGTCAAGCCGAGGTCCCCTAGACTGACCAGGGGTCCACTGAACCCTAAGAGGGCTGACCACATCCCCCCCAGTGCACAGCCTCAGGCCACCCCCAGTAGGTCCTCTGAGGGGTACCATCCCAGGGCTCTTAAGAAGTTTCTTAACAGTTAACTAATCAGTGACTTGATAGGCCACGATGGGTGTGGGCTGCTGGCCCCCTTGGTCCCCTTCCTCAGGGTAGCTGAGGGGTTGGGGACTGGATGGGCTCTAACCTCCAGATTCGTTTGTGGAAGGAGCTGGCAGGCAGGGCAGGAGTCATCCCTGGGTGGGCAGGGAGGAGAGACTGGCTTCTGGCACCTGAAGGATGGCCTCTCCCAGGACACTTTTGAGGTCCAGGAAGGGCTCTGCATGTCCCTCTGGTCCTCTCCCGGGACAGTGCCCACAGCCCCTCCTGGACCCCTGAGAAGGGTGTTCTGCTTCCTCCATCAGTCTTCGTGCGGGTTGCTTTCTGCTTTGTGTCCCATTGGGACTATCTCCTGGGCAGAAGTGCCCATGGTGGGGTCACGGGCTGCTGCCGGATTTTGTCTGTGTGGTTCCTACCCCCGTCTCTTCTCTCACCTGTCCCCACGAGTCCCACCCCGACATGGCATCGCAGCTTCTGTGTGGGTCTGGCTGGAGGGCAGGCGCCCTGCTCCTCCCCCACAGGGTGGGTGCCGAGCCCCTCTTCCCCCAGCAACAGGCCCGGGCTGCCCCCTGGGCACTTTGTGCCCTGTGTGCCTTCCCAGGGCTGCTATCGCACATTCCACAAACTGGCTGGCGGAAACGTGGTCTCTCCCCTCCCCAGCGGCCTGAAGCCAAGGCGTCGTCAGGGCCATGCCTCCCCGCCCCTCTCCCCCTGCCAGGCTCTAGAGGGGGCTTCTTCCGGCCTCTTCCTGCTTCTGGTGCGTCCGGGACCCCCCCAGCTAGTGCCTGCATCGCCCTAGTTTCTGCCTCCACAGTCCTGTGGCCTTCTTTCTGTCTCTTCCTGGGACACTCGTCGCTGGATGTAGGGTCAACTCGAGATTGTCTCTCTACCTCAAGAGTTCAACTGAAGGACACCTGCAAAGCCTCTTTGCCCCAGTAAGGTCACATCTCCAGGTTGCTATCCCCAGACAAGACTTGGACCTATCTTTGGAGACCCTCATGCTGCCCCCATACACCCTTGGTGGCTGGTTTCTTTGGTGCCACCCAGAGTTTGTCATGGCCCCTTAGTGCGGCCAGTGGTACTGTCTGGTGGCATTTAGGTCAAAGATCTGGAGCATTTTCATGGCTCCTGGTGGCTGACTGCTAAATTGTTTCCAGAGGGTCCGAGCACTGCCCATTTGCAGCGCTGGAGGAGTTGGGCCTGCTCTCAACACCAGGGGAGGGTTTTATTATTCTTGACAAAATAATTTTATCGTCCTCAATTATTGTTTCCAATCAGTGTGTTCGGCTGGAGCAAGTGGATTCCCGGGGCCATCCCCAGACAGCAGCAAGCCTGCTGTGACCAGCGCCGTCCACGTGCTTCCCAGGGCTGGGCTATGCGGCCTGTAAATGGGCCCTATCGCGTCCTCGCCCTCTGGACAAAGCATTTCACCCAAGACCCTCTGCAGAATTGCCTGCCTCAGTCCCCCTGGTGCCCTGGTGAGATTCAGGCACTCCTCAGGCCCATCGGACAGGTGGCCAAGGTGTAGGGGGCCAGGGGGACTGTGTGGAGAGGCTGCTGAGAGGGTCAGGCTGCTGGTGCTGGGGTCCCGGGGCAGCCAGCCTGCCTGCAGGGGCCTCCATGTTGCTAGACACCCCTCCGATGTTGACACCACCCTGTCCACTCCCCCCGAATGCCCACCCATCTCCACAGGACCACATCGCAGGCCTGAGTGCAGGTGGGTGTGGGCGGCTGAGGGTGAGGCAGAGTGGGGGGGCGCTGACGGCAGCTGGCCCCGCCCAGCTTTCTCTGTGACTCAGGGTTGGGCAGCCGGCTTGCCGGGGCTTGTGCGGCAAGCAGGCTGTAGAGTGCCCCGGGTGCAGGGATGGCAGCAGGCTGTCAGCAGCAGGCCCTGTGTCCACCCCTCCTGCCTCCCTGCCAGGCCTGGGCTGATGCTGGGGCACCACACTGAGGTGCGCTCAGCAGTAGGGATGTTCCCGGTGTGGACTGGAATCCACACCCGGCCTGCCATTCTCGCCACTCCCGGCAGGCCTCAGCCGCCATGGTCCCCAGTAGGTGCCACCAAGGCCAGAGCCAGGCCTGGAGCCCAGGGCAGGTGGTGCCCCAGCCAGAGCCCCCGAATCAGCCCCCTCCTCCTCTGGGAGTGCCTCACCTGGAGAGGGGCTGCTGGTGGGAGCACCCCTCTGCCCTGACACAAGGCAAAGTGCAGGGATGTGGGAGACCAAGGCCCCAGGTCTCTGGTGCCCAGGCCATCTCCTCCAGGAGGCTCTTGGGACTCCCAGTGGGGGCTGTTTGGTCTCCTCCTGGGACCTCCCCATCTGCCAGCACACATTCCAGCTTCTCTGGAAACCATTGCTGCCCCCTCCCGCTGTCAGGGCACAGGGTTTGGTCCCAGAGACCAGAGAAGGTCACCAAAGGGTGAAGGAGGAGGGGATCCTCAATAGCCCCTCTGGGCTGGGCTAAGCTAGGGACCCCCTCCCCCCAAAAGAAGACCCAGCAGATTTGAGAGAGGCCATGGCTGTTGTGGATTGTGGGTAATTTCTGCCTTTTAAATTCATTCTCAGAAAACCTGAGGATAAAAAATAAAAAAACATAATTGATTTGCTCATTATAACAGAAATGGAATTTTAAAGAA